ACCAGGAAGTGTTTGTTATGGAGGGAAGGCCACAAGTACTGATTGGGGTAAATTTAATAACACTTTAACAACTGTAATGAACAAATTAAAAGTAGCCATTGCTTTAGAGTTTCAAAGCAATAGCTACACTTGTGATAAATAAAAAAAAGGGTAAATTTTAAGCTCGGTAAAGAAATCAACATGTCGTGAGCATGGGACAAAGAAAAAATCTGAGTCCCCGACAGGAATTGAACCTATGACCTTCCGTACACCAGTCGGATGCTCTAACCACTGAGCTATGAAGGTCTTGTGTCGAGCTAGGCCATATACAAGGTTGACGTATGACATGCGTTCTGGTTACTGCTAGGATCAGCAATGTCGAAATCAAAATTGTAAATTAAACGTTGTATTAAATCGAACCCCGATCACTACTTGTGAAATTCGTCGACAACAAACACTTCCTGGAGACACTGCCCCTTTCATAAACAGGATGTAACCGTTCGGCGGCGCAAACATGGGCATAATCAACATGAACAGACGGAGTCACTAGCTGATTGTCGATCTCAGTGCTTACGCTTCAGACTCCGCGAGTCATGCACAGCAGAGCATTGGGTCAGGAGAATGGCAAAAGAATGGAACTTCCTCTGCGATTGTGTAAACCATGTTACTATGCACACTGCAATGCATTTCGCTGGGTTAAGCACCGGCTGCCATTGCAAATACGGTGTTGTTTGTGTTATTGATTGCCAGGAGAAAGTGAATTAAAATACAGTTTCCGACCAACAAAAGCAAGAGAATCCAGAACAAATATATGCTGAACCCAACATGTAATGATTTGTTGGATCACACATTCGTCAAGTCATGCATGAATACTTAAAGATGATTTAAAACCAGAGGGATTTAATAATATTTTCCTGAAATAATACTTAATTTTTAGACTGTTTAAGGGCCCGTTTAGATGAAGGTGGGGACCTCAGGTAGGTGAGCTAAGATGGAGCGGGTCACCCCACCCAGAGAGATTATTTTTACAATAACTGAGCGAATCTTCGCGCGCTGATTGGTCGAGAGCTATGGTCTATGAAAGTATAGACCATGGTTTTCGTAACATGTCACGCAGTGCTGGTTGTTTTGTTTTTTCGTAAAAAAAAAAGAAACAAATGTTATTGTAAGAAACAAATCGACCACAATTTTGCATGGTCCACGTACACTCTTATCACTTGAGTACATTTTATGACGTCATTTCTACGCTCGTTTCTCAGACTTCATTTGGCGTGGAAACCAGTGGCAGCATCGCAAAATGTCGGCTGTTTTCTCAGGCTGGTGTCTTTACAGCTTCGTGTAAAAAAGAAAGATGTCTCCCAAGTAGTATATCAAAAGCTACAAACAACAAAAATAAACTTTGAAAACTGTTAGGCTAACAAGTTTTCAAAACGCACAAAAAGATAAACAATTTTCAGCTAGAATACCGTAAGTGACGTTGCCAATAGCGACCTTGATCTACTCCGTGAGGGTGACCGTGAATTCGAGCGGCTTTCCGACCGAGAACAGCGACTACGTTTTTTGGATGAAGGTGATTTGGAACGACTGCGTGACTTCTTCCGCTTGGAATCCGTGGGTGAGGAAGTGTGGCTACTGCTTTTCTTCTTCTTTTCTCTTCCTTCTTTTGGTGTAACAGCCTTGAGGATGATAGAAACAAGGGATACGTCAAGGAAATGTTTACTGATTACATATACTTATACTACATCTAAAACTTATTAACTAACAAAAAAAGTTACCAAATAATCAATATGCGATATTCACAGTTACACCCCCCAGTATTAGAAACGGCAGCATGAGCAGGTAGGCGCACATGAGCCACGGAAGCCCGCACACACAAGCGGGAGCTTAAGCCGGTTTCTCTAGCATAAAGCACCTAGCAATATCGTTTCTCCTCGCCCTTCCCGCGAGACGAGGGGAGAAGAAAAATAACTATTTTCTCCTCCCCTCGTCTCGCGCTTCGCACTCGTTTCGTACTTAGCGCAAAATGCCGCGTTCGCCTCTTTTGGCTCATAAAGCGACTGCTATGCAGGCTATTGTAGCTTAAACCAGATTGTTTCTATCAATAAAATAACATGAAGAATATAAACAGGAATCAAACAGAACTGTGATGCTTTGTCAACCCGAGTCATTTTCATCATATACACCTACACCGTCGAGGACTAGCTGCCAAATCTAGTAGTTTTGAAATATATATGTTCTTATGCCTTATCCCATTACAATATTTGAAAGCCAACCATTTTCAGATCTGTGCTCAACCCTAATCACTGCAGATCAGTGTTTAACTCTCTGTGGTATATTTTCTCTCATAACTGGCGTTCTACAGTTCTGTCTTTCCCCTGGTCCCAGGTCTTTTGCAACAATTTTCCGGTTTCATTACGTTTAGAGAATGATGCGTTATGTAGGCTTCATAAGATGCCCAATCTGGCTTCACCCGATCTTTTCCCGGCCCCCTTACATTTTCTGGGGACGAGGTTGAACCAGCTGGCGTTGACTAAATTTGGAAGATGTTTTCGATATCCTATATTGCAGGCTATCGTCAGCAAAAGGCACTGCAAACGAGAAGTCCTGGGAACGAGGTTACGTTCCTGCGCTAGCTCAATTATTTTTGTAAAGCTGAAGAATATTGAGAAAAATTTTTAAAAAGCTTAAAAACAGCAATTGCAAGGACAGCAAAAATATAATTCAACGGAAGATAACTTCTTAAAACTGAGCTTTCGTATGATCTGAAAAATTATACAAATATTGTTTCTCTTTGCCGGTCAGAGCCTAACGAACTCTAACCTCGACCTGAGGTTTCTAGTTACTCTTTCACTTTGCTGATCACTTCCGCTAACACTTCCGTGTTAACTACATTGCTGGTTCACTCTGTTGAAGAGCGTCTAAGATTTTCCTTCACTGACATCTTCACGCCTTCTTGCCGGTATGAACACTTTAATTTCTTACTGATGAGAGTGTAATTAGCACTCAATCCTTAACTGAACTTTTATGTAATTAATGATGTAAATTTAGCTGCTGAAATGTCTTGAAACCGTGCGGAAATGTCCTCTTGACAAGGGTCTATGCAAAATTCAGCTGATTCTCGAATTATTGGCGATCAGAGCATCTTGCATTTTCCCGTCGGGGTCTCCGGAAGTGGAAATATCCTCGAATCACGAATTTGTCAATGAACTTTTTGCACAGTCTCCACACGGTTTATTGGGCATCAGCAGAAGGAAAACCACTCTAGAGAATGAAAACGCGGAACATTTGTCGCATAAACGCTGTTCCGATCAAAGTTACTTTTAAGTAAAAGGTTCTGCAGTTATCTATCTATCCTCACTGGTTGGATTTTTGGTATTGTTTATTGGAGCCAGTGTATTCGATTTCCAGAATTTCAGACTGGGATGTGGTCCCCACCTGCGTCTTGGAGTCGTGCAACCATAAGCTACCTAGACCATCACCGTTGTACAAATTAGCTATATTGACTGTCCTGATCATGTTTCCCACAGCTTAAGAATTGAAGCTTTTAAGCATTTTTTTTTTTTGCTTTTTTAAATAAAAATGCAACAGATGTACTAACCAATACGCTAAAACCGAATTTTCTCAAGGTTCTTTCATGACGCTACCAGCGGATTTATTCCGCTACTGGTTCGCGAATCGTGGAGACTTCAGTGGTGACAGATTATACTTTTGATGCATTTCCCAATAAGGTTTTGCGTACAGATAGGAAAGAGCTTCTCCCTTTAATCCATTTGAATGATTCCTATGACTTCCATCTCTCCCGCGACATATATATATAAACAAGCCTGCCGATACAAATTCGAAGTAAACGGAATAATTTTAACTAAATGGTCTGTTGATCGATCGATCAATTGATTAATTGATAGTGTTTGATTAATAATGCGATTAAATGAATCAAGAGGACTGATGTGATCTTCATTTTAGCATTAAACACGGGGAAGTGAAAATATAATAAATCACAATTATTGAATGTCGTGATAACAATTTATGCAGAAATGATGGGTTTACAAGAGTAATCTGGCATTAAAGTTGATCATTCTGGACTGATCTATGCAGTCACTCCTCAGACGTCAATTTGCGGGGAATCCAGCGGGGGCGTCTGCTGTTTTATCGTACAGCATAACAGACGGTGTCCTGTCCACCTCGCTGTGAAATACGCAAAAAAAAAGAGACAAAAAATTGTCTTCATGTTAATAGAACATCATTGCTGACTGTGCCTGTCTGTAGTGTTTTGTCATAGCAGTTCGCGCAAATCTTTTTTAAAAACGAATTTATTTAAAAGGCACTATCCGGTCACTCAGAATTAATTATTAAGACCAAGAAAATAAATAAAAGCAGAGTTTAGCGTCCATGTACACACATACTCCCGTGGCACATGTACAACTGAAATACAGAAAAAAATTTCCAATTTCGAAAAAAGGCATTTTTTTGTCATTAAATCGGGATGACCGATACATTTTTTCGCACTATTTTGGTGTCTTTCTGTTAACATTTCCTTATCCTTTTATTATTCCATAATTCTGAAGGGGTCAATGGCCTTTTTTCCCGTAAGCACTATACCTCACCGACAACACTAGAGATGAGTGAAATAAACAACAAACTACTGCATTTTTCTACGTATTACATGTAGACTAATGTTCTGAAAATGTCCTGAGGAAAAAATTTTCTAGAGGAGCATGCCTTCAGACCCCTTTAGATTGGGCTGTGTTCGGCGCAACAACTTTTTTTCCCCGCGTACGTACACCTTCAAAGTCTCACGTTACACCCCTGATTTATACCACCAACTGAAGATGCACAACTCTCTTTGAAACTAAAGATGACTTCGGCACAGGTTGTCACTTCACTCACCCTGACAATTATATCATCAGATGGCAAACATTTTTACTGAATGATAAAATTTCGATTTCACTTTTTTTAAACTAGAACTGAACAACAAATTATCTCTATTTTTCAGATTGTAGTTGATCAAATCGCGTCGGAATATGGCAGCATTTATCGGAGAAAGGGTCGGAATAAGAGATATTTCACGAGACGTTTCGGTACCACAGAATCCAAAAGCCAAACTGATGTACTACCTCAACTGTGTGGCCACGGTTATTCAGCTAGACGATCCTGCTTTGAGCAGGTTAAAGAACTACCAGAGTTACTATTCGCTGAGCGAGGAAGAAACCGACGCTCTATTGGCACTGGTAATTCTCCTCAGCCCAGATGAGCTGATAGGCAAGGTGTTTTTCCCGAATGAAGACTGTGGGGGACGTACTAACCAATTCTATGAGCTGAGTGCAGTGTCGCACATGCTGGCAGTTGCAGATAACATCGTCATTGGAGGAGAAAGGAAGAGAGTTGGCAAAATAATGTTCTTTAAGAGATCATGGATGGAAAACAACTACCTTACACCCATCAGATCCTTCCAAGATCGACTGCAAAGGATGGCGCGAGGGCTGCCAGGAAGAGCACCCACTCCGCGTAGAGCCCCACCTCCGTCCAGGCCCCGCGCTACGTCGTCAAGCAGTTCTTGCAGTATTTCGTAACTTTTTCAAAGAAGTTTCGTGTGCAACTCCTTTAAATTTTTTTGAAGTATTCACTGCTGAACTAGTTTAGGCTATATGCGTTTAGTGACTCTAAGGAAGCTTTCGATTTGTCAGAACTGACCGGCCAGACCATTCCCGTTGCCATGATAATTTCCTTTCAATAAAAACTCTTCAGCCAGATCATTCAAATCCTAAATATTATGCACGAAGGAGATGGTTTTTCAGCGAAAACTCTTCGCAAAAGCCTATTTCATTTGCAAACTGTCTGGTCGGGCATTGGCCCGCCCGGCCAGTTCTGACAAATGGAAAACGCCCTAAGTAGACTAAATGTTAAGTCACGCTATCACCCTGTTTCCATGAAGGTGGGGACCTCAGGTAGGTGAGGTAACATGTAGCGGGTCATCCCACCCAGAGAGAATATTTTTACAATAACTTAGCGAGTCTTCGCGCGCTGATTGGTCGAGAGATATGGTCCATGGAAGTATAGACCATGGAAATGACGTGACATGTCACGCAGTGCTGATTATTTTGTTTTTGGTTTTTCGTAAAAAAAACAACAACAACAACAACAAATGTTATTGTAAAAAACAAATCGACCACAATTTTCCATGGTCCACACTCTTATCACTTGAGTACATTTTGTGATGTCATTTCTATGGTCTATAAGAGTGTAGACCATGGAAAATTGATGCGATTTGTTAAATAGACAGGCGGGTTACTCTTTTTCTTCGAGGGTGATTTTGATGGGGATCTTGACCGTTTTTTTCGGGACGAACTTTTCTTCACGGGCGTCCCACTCCGTGACCTAGATCGTTTCCGTCTCTGTTTGGTACCTGGCGACCTGCTTCGGGATCTGGATCTTCCACGCCCACGGGATGAGCTTCGACTTCGGGATCGTGATCATCTTGAACTCGAAGGTGAAGGTGTACGTGAATCGTAATGCTTAAGGGACTGTGGAAAGAAACAGAATGTAATTAATGGATTTGATCAAATTGATGGGGTTGTCTCGCGTTTGCTTCTTTATTTTGTGAATAAAGCCACTTATGTGCCTTTACAGATTCGTGAAAAAAAAAAGATGTCGCCCAAGTAGCATATCAAACGTTACAAACAATAAATATATACTTTAAAAAACTGTTAGGCTAACAAGTTTTCAAAACGCACAAGAAGACGAGAGAAACAATTTTAAGCCAGACTACCGTAAGTAACGTCGCCAATGGCGATCTTGATCTACTCCATAAGGGTGACCGTGAATTCGAGCGGCTGTCCGACCGAGAACGGCGACTACGTTTTTTGGACGAAGGTTATTTGGAACGACTGCGTGACTTCTTCCGCTTGGAATCCGTGGGTGAGGAAGTGTGGCTACTGTTTTCTTTTACAAACGAGAAGTCCTGGGGACGAGCTTACGTTCCTGCGCTAGCTCAATTATTTTTGTAAAGCTGAAGAAAATTGCAAAAACTTTTCAACGGAAGATAACTTCTTAAAGCTGGGCTTTCGTATGATCTGAAAAATTATACAAATATTTTTTCTCTTAGCCGGTCAGAGCCTAAAGAACTCTAACCTCGACTTGAGGTTTTCTAGTTACTCTTTCACTTTGCTGATCACTTCCGCTAACACTTCCGTGTTTACTACATTGCTGGTTCACTATGTTGAAGAGCGTCTAAGATTTTCCTTCACTGACATCTTCACGCGTTCTTGACGGTATGAACACTTTAATTTCTTACCGATGAGAGTGTAATTAGCTCTCAATCCTTAACTGAACTTTTATGTAATTAATGATGTAAATTTAGCTGCTGAAATGTCTTGAAACCGTGCGGAAATGTCCTCTTGACAAAGCGGGGTCTATGCAAAATTCAGCTGATTCTCGAATTATTGGCGATCAGAGCATCTTGCATTTTCCCATCGGGGTCTCCGGAAGTGGAAATATCCTCGAATCACGAACTTGTCAATTAACTTTTTTCTAAGGTTGACCAATAAATCAGCCTTCTTTCAGGCCACAGTGCCCAAGAGGGTTATTGAGCCTGATCAGCCGAAGGAAAACGCACTGTAGGGAGTGAAAACGCGGAACATTTGTCTCATAAACTCTGTTCCGATCAAAGCTACTTAAGGCTCTGCAGTTATCTTTCTATCCTCACTGGTTGGATTTTTGGTGTTGTTTATTGGAGCCAGTGTATTTGATTTCCGGATTTTTCAGACTGGGATGTGGTCCCCGCCTGTGCCTTGGAGTCGTGCAACCATAAGCTACCTAGACCATCACTGTTGCGCAAATTAGCTATATTGACTGTCCTGATCATGTTTCCCACAGCCTAGGAATTGAAGCTGTTAAATAAAACTGCAACAGATGTACTAATCAATACGCTAAAACCGAATTTTCTCAAGGTTGAGTAAGTGTTTTGTTTCTTTTATGAGGCTACCAGAGGATTCATTCCGCCATTGGCTCGCGAATCGTCGGTGACAGATTATACTTTAAATACATTTCCTAGGAAGGTTTTGCGAACAGATAGGAAAGAGCTCCTTCCTTTAATTCATTTCAATGATTCCTATGATTTCCATCTCTCCCCCGATATATAAGTAAGCCCGCCGATACAAATTCGTAGTTGACTGAATAATTTTGACTAAATTATCTGTTGATCGATCTATCGATCGATTGATTAATAATGTGATTATTAATAAATCAAGATTTGAAGGGCAGACTGATGCGATCTTTAGTCAAGCAGTAAACACGGTGACGTAAAAATACAATCAATTACAATGACTGAATCTCGTGATGAAATTTATGCAGAAATGATGCGTTTACAAGAGCAATCTATGGCATTAAAGTTTATCATTCTGGGCCCAGTTGTTCGAAGGCCGATTCAGTAGCGCTAACCCAGGGTTAAATTTTAACTCGAGTTTCTTTTTCTTTTGCCAAAAGCATTTTCCCGGATAATTTTCTCTCTTTTTTTTAGAGGAACCAATCATCAAATTGTAGGCAAAAAGAATAAAACTGAATCTGCTTCTCAAGCTTTCATATCTAAAATCAAATTTCGCACTTACCCTGGGTAATTTAACCCTGCTTTGAACAACCTACCCTGGGTGCCAGAGGCTTTTCATGGACGGTTTCCGGTTTCGGTCAGCCTTAAAAACTGAACTGCAACCCGGCCCTGGACCGATATCTGCAGTCGTTCCTCAGACGTATTTTCGCGGGGAATCCAGCTGTGCCGTCGCGTATTATCAGCTGTTTTCTTAGGCTCGGTTCCCTGTACGGCGTTTTCCCAATTCCTCTCAGTCAATTCACTTCGGGGACGCATTCGAACGCTTTGGCCGCCCGAAATAATGAGGCCTAGGGACTAGGCAAGGTTTATCGTAGAGTTGGCATAACAGACGGTGTCCACCTCGCGTGTGAAATACGCGAAAAAAAAAAAAAGAAAAAGAAAAAAGAGAGACTTAAATTGTCTTTATGTCAATGGAACATCATCGTTGACTGCACCTGTACTGCCTGTATTGTTTTGTCATAGCAGTTCGCACAAACCAGGAGCCCATGATGGGCTCCTGCACAAACCTATTAAAGAGATCTAGTAAAAGGCGCTGCCATTTAAATTCGTCACAGTCAATGAAATCACGGCTAACTCTCGGAATTAATCAGAACCAAGAAAATAAAACAAGAACAGAGTTCAGGAGCGTAGCGTCCATATACGCACATACGCCCCCGTACGAACATAGACTAGAGACGAGTAAAATAAACAACTAACCAATGCATTTTCCTACGTATTAGAGTGATTTGCTTTACCCGTGAAGCAGATGACTTCTGTCTATTGCAAAACAGCTACAAGTAGACAAAAAAAGGAAATGGAATTGGTGCTTAGCGCGTAGTATTCTACTGCCTGTTTCACGGGTTAAGTAAAATCACTCTAATGTGCTGAAAATCCTGTGGAAAACGCTGGTAATGGCATTTCCGAGACCCTAGATTTAAAACCGTTCTGGGGGAGCATGCCCCCTGCAGACCCCCCCTAGATTATCGGCCTTCGGCGTAACAACTCTTCTTCCCCGCGTGCGCGTGCACCTTCAATTTAAAGTCTCACGTTACGCCTCTGTTCATACCATCAACTTTAGTTTGACTAATGGTCGTGGGTTGCGGGTGTCAATTGACGATGCACAACTTCCCGTTTGAATCTGAAGGCGACTCCGATACAGGTTGTCAATTCACTCACCCTGACGATTATATTTCCTTGACAAACATCATTTACAAATAACAAAATTTCGATTTCAGTTTTTCTCTAAAACTGAACAACAAATATCTCTTTTTTTCAGACTGTAGTTGATCAAATCGCATCGGAAAATGGCAGCATTCGTCGGAGAAAGAGTTCGCATCAGAGATACTTCAGTAAGCGTTTCGGTACCACAGAATCCAAAAGCCAAATTGATGTACTACCTCAACTGTGTGGCCACGGTTATTCAGCTAGACGATCCTGCTTTGAGCAGGTTAAGGAACTACCAGAGTTACTATTTGCTGAGCGATCAAGAAACCGACGCTCTGTTGGCACTCGTAATACTCCTCAGCCCAGATGAGCTGATAGGCAAGGTGTTTTTCCCGAATGAAGACTGTGGGGGACGTAATAACCAATTCTATGAGCTGAGTGCAGTGTCGCACATGCTGGCAGTTGCAGATAACATCGTCATTGGAGGAGAAAGGAAGAGAGTTGGCAAAATAATGTTCTTTCAGAGATCATGGATGGAAAACAACTACCTTACACCCATCAGATCCTTCCAAGATCGACTGCAAAGGATGGCGCGAGGGCTGCCGGGAAGAGCACCCACTCCGCGTAGAGCACTACCTCCGCCCAGGCCACGCGCTACCACTTCAAGCAGTTCTTGCAGTATTTTGTAACTTTTTAAGAGAAGTTTCGTGTGCTAGTCCTTTAAATTTTTTTTGGAAGTATTCACCGCTGAACCAGTTTAGACTATACGTTTAGTGACTCAAAGTAGACTAATTTTTAAGTCACGCTATCATAATTCACATCTAACTTTATTGTGAACATAATGCCTCATAATTCAAACGAAACACCACTCTTCTTGTCAGTGCAGTACTTAGGGTTAGTTAGATGGAACGAAACCTTTACGAGTAAATTCGATCAAAAAAGAGAGGCTTCATTTTTTAAAACATATTTTTATGTGGCTTTTACTATAGAATGGGTACCATAAAATAGAAGAAGAATACCCACTTAAAGAGAAGTTGCTCCAACTAGAATAAAAGACCAATTTTATCACTTTTACGAAATCGTCCTTAACTGGTAAATTTAGCTTGAGTTCTTGTCGACGTCACAATAATTCATAATGATCTAGCTCTTAGCGATGAAATATAGAATAGTGAACAAAAAGGTAGAAGTTTCTTGCTATTTGTTTCATTACAAGCGCATTGAAACATAGGGCTGTGTTGTCCTTTAAAGTGTGCGAAAAATCTGTAAAATATGGATGAATGTTTTGAATAACAACAGGGATTAGATGTCTGGACCAGGAAGTGGTAACTGTTTTTTTATCTGCGGAAGTCCACAAGTAGTGATCTGGGGTAAATTTAATAACACTTTAACAACTGTAATTAACAAAAGTAGCCATTGCTTTGGAGTTTCAAAACAACAGCTACACTTGTGATAAATAAAGAAAGTCTTGCATGAATACGTAAAGATGATTTAAAACCACTGGGATTTAATAACATTTTCTTGAAATAACGCTTAATTTTAGACTGCTTAAGGGCCTGTTTAAATAAAGGTGGGGGACCTCAGGTAGGTGAGCTAAGATGGAGCAGGTCACCTCACCCAGAGAGATAATTTTTACAGTAACTGAGCGAATCTTCGCGCGCTGATTGGTCCATAGCTATGGTCTATAAGAGTATAAACCATGGAAATGACGTAACATGTCACGCAGTGCTGGTTATTTTGTTTTTGGTTTCTCGTAAAAAAAAAACAACAACAACAACAACAAATGTTATTGTAAAAAACAAATCGACCACAATTTTCTATGGTCCACACTCTTATCTCTTGAGTACATTTTATGATGTCATTGCTATGGTCTACAAGAGTGCAGACCATGGAAAATTGATGCGATTTGTTAAATGGACAGGCGGGTTACCTCACCTACCTGGGGTCCCCCCACCTCTATGTAAACAGGCCCTAAAGTGCAACACTGCACTTATCCAGGAAATTGCCTTTTGTCTTTTCATAAATTATGCACAAGTAATTAGTATGCACCTGCATAACACGACATGTGCAAGAAACAATTCTCTAGAGTATCATCACGTGGTCTGAAACGGGAAAACAAAACACACAAGCTAAAAAGGTCTATTGTTCTAAAAGTCAGTTCTCTCTCCTTAACGTCCTCCCACAATGACATTTTTATTCAGTATATTTTCATTATTACTAGCTTATAATGACTCTAAAAAGGAGGGAGGAAGCTAAAAATCTTTGGTACAGTAATTAGAGAGAAGTGAACACCAACCAGAGTCACTAAAATTTGAGCTTATTCGGGGTGTTGCACAGTAAAGAATTACAATATCTCACTGAAAGTTCTCCCTCCGGTTTCCTGTCTTCTCCTATGTAGTTTCCTATACAAAAAATCTCAAGAGTTTGTCACTGTGAGGATTGCGTGAAAATACAAAAGAAGCACTTCATTGCACACGATAGTTCTTCCTTGACTTAATGTCAACCAATCAGCTCAGGTGTTGGACATCAAACAAGGCATAACATAAGCCACTGCAAATGATGTCTCATATAATAACTCTTTTGTTTTCATTGCTTCACTTTTTCTTCTTTTTGCTCTTTTTCTTCGAAGGTGATTTTGATCGGGATCTTGACCGTTTTTTTCGGGACGAACTTTTCTTCACGGGCGTCCCACTCCGTGACCTAGATCGTTTCCGTCTCTGTTTGGTACCTGGCGACCTGCTTCGGGATCGGGATCTTCCACGCCCACGGGATGAGCTTCGACTTCGGGATCGTGATCGTCTTGAACTCGAAGGTGAAGGTGTACGTGAATCGTAATGCTTAAGGGACTGTGGAAAGAAACAGAATGTAACTAATAAATTTTAATCAAATTGATGGGGTTGTGTCGCGTTTGTCTACTTTATTTTGTGAATAAAGCCAATTATGTATCCTTACAGCTTCGTGCAAAAAAAAAGATGTCTCCCAAGTAGTATATCAAGCGTTACAAACAACAAAAATATACTTTAAAAAACTGTTAGGCTAACAAGTTTTCAAACGCACAAGAAGACAAAAGAAACAATTTTAAGCCAGAATACCGTAAGTGACGTCGCCAATGGCGACCTTGATCTACTCCGTGAGGGCGACCGTGAATTCGAGCGGCTGTCCGACCGAGAACGGCGACTACGTTTTTTGGATGAAGGTGATTTGGAACGGCTGCGTGACTTCTTCCGCTTGGAATCCGTGGGTGAGGAAGTGTGGCTACTACTTTTCTTCTTCTTTTCTCTTCCTTCTTTTGGTGTAACAGTCTTGAGGATGATAGAAACAAGGGATACGTCAAGGAAATGTTTACTGATCACATATACTTATACTACATCTAAAACTTATTAACTAACAAAAAAAGTTACCAAATACCGTATTTATTCGAATAAGCGCCTAACCTCGAATTAGCGCCCATCTCGAATAAGCGCCCATCCTAAAGGTAGAAAAAGTTAATAAGCGCCCACCCCCTCCCCTTCTCAATCAATTTCAAATAAGCGTTCACCCCCACCCCACCCACTTGAGTGAATAAATTCTAATAAGAGACTTCCCAGAGGACGGAGTTTTCTTCAGAGTATTTTACAGAAACCTTGCTTTGTTACTCCTTCGCGTTTTGTCATTAGCATTTATTGTTTTGTTGCAAAATAAACATGCTTCACTTTCTGAAAATGGTGAAAATTTAATAAGCGCCCAGCCTTGAATAAGCGCCCACTCTCAAGGTCCAAAAATTTAATAAGCGCCCAGGGCGGTTAATCGAATAAATACGGTAATCAAGCGTCCGATATTCGCAGTTACACAGTATTAGAAACGGCAGCATGAGCAGGTAGGCGCACATGAGCCATGGAAGCCCGCACACACGAGCGGGAGCTTAACCCGATTTCTCAAGGCCAAAGAACATTGGGAAAAAGCACTTAATCGCCCGGGATATTATGGAGATGTAGAGATGTAGCGTGAAGCACCCACCAATATTGCTTCTTCCTCTCCGCTCGAAAACCACGCAGTAGTAACTTCCAAGCTCAAGATTTGTCTGGAATTGCAAGGCATTCCACGGTCCCTCCCTCCCACGGTCGATTTACACGAGGCATCAACTCACACCAACACCTTGGTCACAAAGCACCTGTTTGTGTTGATAGAGCTCAACTAACCTCCATTAATTTCGCCCTATATATATCACATTGTAGGGCAATGTCACTTGCTCCTTTAGCTTCTAATTTCTGAGCGTATTCTGCAACTTTGAGTTCGACTTCTCGAAGCTTTTTCCGTCTGCTCTCATCCATTTCCATAACTCGCGGAGTCTCTACAGAAGAAGCATGTGTCTCTTCGGGTCTTTTGGGTGAATCTTCTTTTACAGAAGGTCTAAACAAAGGAAAAGGGAAAAAAAAAGAAAAATGAAAATAATATATTATAATATCTAGCTGGATAACAAACCTGTCGCTTTGGCTTGGACACAAGAAAAATAAATATATAAATTAAAGACGATTTAGTGGTAGTAAGTCCAAAAATTGTTTCTAAATCTAATTGGAATTTGGAAGAGTTGATTTTGAGAAATGGAAAACCGGAGTTCCCAGCATGTCCCGTCGTCCCGCCGTGAGAGATGTCCGCGTGTTGGTCCAAAAAATTCATTCTCATGAAGTAAACCTGCCAGAATCTGGTCAACCTGTCACCATTAAAGTTACATTGCGAGCTAACCTGAACTACTAAATTACGAATTTCGAACAGTTGCATCAGCGCAAAAGAAGCTCACCAACAATTGATTAAAGGCCTAACACTGATAAAAGGTAACCTAGATTGTCACACTTCCGAATGTTTTCAGTTACCTTAGCAAGGAATGAATGAGGTGCAACATTGACTTACTTTGGTGCTGGATCCTCAACTCTTTCCCACTCGGGTCGATCCCATTTCGAGGCAAAATGAGGAACATCTGATCACAAAAACAAATTACAATATTGGAAATCTTCATGCGCAGTCAGCTAATACTTCAGGAAAATCTTGCCCATAAATTGCCCAAAATTTCTCGTCTACACTGTTGTCCCGCAATGTAGTTTACTCGGTCAGACACTTCTATAACATGGACATATCTATCCCCTCTCCCTGTGTATCCGCACCCCTTCCCCCAAACCAATGTTCTATTCTAATTAACTACAAAGATCAATAATTCGGGGGTGGGGAATTTACAGAGTTTAAACAGAATTTAATAATGGAGGGACAAGGGTGTCAACTACTTTTGTCACTGATTGTAGCTTGCGAGGAGTTAAATTCACCTGAGTTAAAGTACAATAATTTAGGCAACTATAAACTTAACTGTCGTTTTGAAATGCAACTCAAATCAATGAAAATCAAGTTGTCAACCATCACAAATTCTGCTGCAAGTAAAATTCTTTCATACCTTTGTCACGTGACTTCTCTGAAGTCTTTTTACTGTCCACTGTAAAAAGGAAACCAGAATCATGGACTCAATGAAAGAAAATATATAATGAAGTTCTCATTATCACTAAGGATTTATTTTATAGGAACAATTACACTGAACGATGGACATTGATCCGCAATGTGCTTGTCACAAGTCTTGAAAACATTTTTGACCTGTAAAACAGTTATTTATCAAAAGCTTAAGACTGAGATTCAATTTCTGATTTGGAAACTCCTGGCTCTTCTCACTGACTCCTGTTGTGACACAACAGAATTTCAAAACAAATTTCAACAGTCAGTGCAAAAGACTATGAAAAATGGTCCCTCTATCCCGTTCCAATCATTCACCATGTGCTTATTTTTAACATTTTCTCCAGCCTTGGTGCGTTTTTTCTTGGCACAGAAGATGTTATCTGTAGAGAGAGGGCTTTTGGGATGAAAATCGAACTCTTCAGCTACTAAACCGCTCAAGCAATGTGCACTTAAAGCAGTAGACTCTTTGCAATTTACATCCCAAGTACCTCTACCATGAGCCAAATGATAATGCACTTTACAGCAATAAAGTCCAGACCACTCCTCGGTCACTACTCACTTGGCACTCCATCAATATTACTGCTGCCAGAGAGTGGCACACCATCAATATCAGCAGCTTTTAAGGGGACCCCATCCACATCCATTGATTTTATAGGCACACCATCAAAATCTGGCACTTTTAATGGTACTCCATCAACATCTAAAGGTACTCCATCTATATCCACTTTGTTTCGCCCTAAGCTTTCATCAAGTGGATAAACAGGTTTAAGAGGTTGATCTGATGCCTAAATAGAATGAAACCAAACACACAAAACATTAAATAAATGCTGAAATCATCACACTTAAGTACCGTCACAACTTATGCAGTTGCCAAAAGAAAGCCTGAAAATTTTCAGGTTTCCTGGGATTCGATCCCTGACCTCTGCAATACCACTGCAGCGGTCAGCTCTAACCAACTGGGAGCTGGACATTAAATAATATTGGTTCGTCATATACAGGGAAATATGAGGACGAAATAACGCATAAAAAAATAATATGGATTACACATATTTGCACTACAAGATAAAGAAATAAATGCAAACAAATCATGTTATAGATTATTTGCTTGTTGTCTTTTGAGAATAATCAATCTTCCAAAATACTTGGTCTAGATGGTTAAGTGATAACATTCTTACCTCTGATTGGCTGCTTTTTTCAGTATGGCCAAGAAAGATATTTTCAAGATTAAACAAGAAATCTGGAGTGTATACAGCCCAGTCCATCCAGGCTGCAAGACAGCGAAGAACTTGTTTCTGCAAAACATACAATCATAAATAAACAGGAAGTGTAAACATCTTTGTCACCCAGTAAGAAAAGCATTATATTATTTTTAGTAATAACTATTTATCTCAGTTTTAAAACAAGGACTTACTCTAAAGTTCTCTGCTTTCATGCGAGCATTAATGGCCTTGAATGATGCGCTTAAGTTACCAAATATCTCAGGAAGAAAACTCTGAAATCTGCCAAAAAATAGATGAAAGATCAGCTTTAAAAAGATTAATCTTTATAACATAAAGGTAGCAACGAAATTCACTTATTCAAGCTATTAACTTTTTTCTAAGAGTTCACATTTCAACAATGGCTAATGGTAGACCTGGGGAGCCAGTAACAAACTGATAACACTTTATGACCATGCAACAGCAACAAAAACAAAAGGCAACAAAGAAAATGCCTACCCCTTCCTGTAGTATGACACATTGGGTACTTTAACAGAACAGTTGTGAAGAATGTCTGATACCAAGTACAAACGTGCAACCTACATGACAGTACATGAAAAACAACAACATTAACAAAGTCTTGAACTTAAGCAAGCCCACTGAGTACAAAATTTAAAACACCCTGACCTTATCTGGGCACACAGGAAAGGAACCTTTCAAATTTAGTGGGCTGCACAGCAGAATACAGCACGCAAAATTGACCAATCACCACGTGCAAACTACATTGTAACTGACAGATTTAAAAACTGAACTTGTGGGATTTTCACACAAAACTCAAATGTGTCAAGCCACATCAATGTACTGCCACGGGAGTTGAAACTGTACTGTTGAAACTCACCTTGACTTGCAAGGGTGTTTCCAGAATTGACAATGACTCTGCTATGCATTCAACAACCTGTAATATTAAGCATAATTTATTTATAACAAAGACAATGGTAACAAATTAATATGTACAATAAAATAATGAGAACTACAACAGAAAACAAAAATGCTTTATTTTAGCTAAATTACATACAGTTGCACTGAGCTCAAAGGTGAAAAATTTGAATGCTGTGAACCCTTTATACGTATTATTAAATCATGATAAGTACAAAAGTTTGGCTTTTAAAAATTTCACTTTCAGTCAGTGGATAAAATCTTCCACGATGACCATTCAAATGGATGCTATGGAGATTGATCGAGTACATACCTCCTCAGCACAGTCAGCATTTTTGACACAGAACACCATGCACTTGGCAATCTTAATTCTCTCTGGAGTCAAATCCCGCAACATGTCCTCCAGGTTGTCACGTTGTCTACAATGATAAATATTAATAAGAAAACATAATACAGATATGTAAAACGATATACATTTTAAACTGAGGTCATTTAATTTCTAAGAGACATTCTGAAGAATTCATCAATATTTCCAAGGTAAAAGAATACACCCCTTAAACATGTAAAAATATTGAAAAACCTAAAAGGGAATTAATTCTGAAATCTGACATTTCTTACCTATTGGATAACGTATTCTTTCTACTGCTTGTGGCTGCTGATGTTGACCGAGAACCGCTGCTGTAACTGCTACTGAGGCTCTGTGTAGGTGGTGGTGCAGCAGCCTGTGGGGGTGGTACTGGGGTTTCTACTTGAGGTACTGGTTGTTTATTGGCATTAAAAGCTGCGGCACTCATAGTGTACTGATGACACTGGGGAGGTTTCCACACTGAACCGCCTTCAAACATCTTGAATTTCTCTGTTCGCCATTTTGTCGGGGAATCGCCCTTTAGATAAGAAATACAATTTATTATTACTGAATCAGCTGTTCTTAATTTTAACCAATATACAAGTGGTGAAAACACAAAAGAAAGAGCCATAAGCTGAAAAACAAACCTGGAGAATAGAAAACAGCTTCCACCTGTAATAAATGTGTTCTGGACTCTGGTTGTCAAACAAGAACCTGTTGATTTATCAGACCAAATAAAGTTTATTTAGTTACTAGAATAATAATGTTACTTACACATCTTTACTTCTACAGCTGTAGACTCAATCCACAAATAGTACCACACAGACTTAACAACAGGGAGGTTAAGATGTCATGCTGGCATCGGCAACAAGAAAGCAACAAATCTGCACATGAATCACACTTTTTGGTACACTTCTTTGTCATCACTGCTTGACTACAATGTGTAACTGCCTAATTTCAGAATTTGAGGGGGATGTAAACAAATGACAACAAATTTTTCTTCTTTCTCTCTGCGCTTGAAGTGTGTCCTTAGGAACCAACTACAGTAAAAAGTGAAAAAGTGAGCGAGCTGGGATAATCGCAATGAAGTTTAAAAGAATATGTATTGACTGTTTTGAGTGATATTTTTGTCACTGTCACTGTCTTGATATCTTAAATTCCCTCAAAAACTTTTCTAAGCTGTAGACAATAATTATTTTCTCACTCAAACTGCCATTTGTTTTTGTTGCAGGCATTTAAAGTTAGAGAAGTGTACCCACCTGTACATAGGGTTGTTTAATTCCTTGTTCATGATCATAGCCTCAAACATGGGTCCTTCACGCACCACAAACTCCACCATGCGATGAACAAGACACAGAAGATTCCTGTAGGAATTACATGGTTACCACGACAACAAATAATAGGCAAAGTTAGCTATCATGAAACTCACCATAGAAGAGTTAAAAACTCATTAATCAGGCTTAGTAGACTGCTCAGGCTTAGAACAGATTTTCAGTACCATGCAAACTGAGTTTTGTCGTAAAGCACAATGTTAACTTAGTTCTAAGTACATGTACCTGGAAGTTACACTTTAAAGGTGAGAAGTAGTTTCTCACATTAATTTGAAACTAACTCAAATTAATGTTGACAACTTCGTCCAAGCCAAAAAACCAAATACAGTACTTCATATTGAATTTCATAAATAGAACATGAGCTTGAGAGCGGTAACACTACACTGGTTAACGTAATTAATGCTATCGAAACTGCAACAAGGGATTATTGTCAAGAATACTCCAAAAGATCTACATTACTTCCACCCTTCTAAACAGAAATAAAACTACACTGCGAAGAACAAATAACGTTTAAAAGAAAAAGGTAAAAATGTGAATACACATAAATTTGAGGAGATACTATTATCAGTTGTAAATAATGTTGAAGTTGAGCATAAAGACATCTTTTTGAAAACATACCAGCCAATGTATTCCACAAGGGAATATAACAACAACGTACAGTCAGTTTGCATTAAAAAGGTACCTTTCCGTCGGGATTACAACTTTCACGACCGCATTGGCTAACGTCTAAGAGGCAATTGCCAAAGACTTCATGAGTATTAAGAAAAATAACTTATAAGACGTAATTACCATTACACCTAAAAGTACAGTATTACACTGCATTATGCTGGATTGTGTCATGGTGTTGGAAGACAGAGTGAAAATGTTTACTGCTTACCACAATGAACTACATCATTTTAAGTAAATTAGTTATCCTTAAATTTTCTTTGATCCTTATGAGATGTCTTGGATAGCTGTTTAGGTCACTTTTACTTGCTGCATGAATGTTGCCCTTATTAGACCAACACCACACCAATAGAAAAAAAACTACACTTTTGAATCAAGAGGTCAAATCTCAAAAAATCTTTAGACCAAAGCCGACATATCTAATTATTAATTTTTTAAATTAATTTTTGTTAATGACTGAGAGCAAAAAGAGTCTTAAAAAACATACATGTACACATAAATAACATTTAGAGCTTCATATGAGACAAATCTATCAGGAAGATCTCACTTTACAACAAAACAATGATACAAAAACAATTTGAAACAAACAAATCTCACTGTATTTTAAATTGAACATACTACCCTACTATTCACATACTATTTTAAATGTAAACACTACCCCACACAACTCTTAAAATTTACTGTAGAATTAGAGAGGAATGAAACTGCAAAAATTAAACTATGGGTCTAAATATTGTGGGCATCAATCTTCCATATCTCACCTCCTTGTTGAATCCATTGGTATCAAGATCACGTGTCTGTTCTTCACCCCCTCCCTGTGGGGGAGGGGCACTGGAATAGTTGTCTTTCTTTTTATCTGGTTGAGCATTGAATGGCAAGCCTGACGGGGGAGGTGGTGTGGTGTCTTCTTGCATTTCAGGGGGGATATAGATAGGATGCGGTGGTATGGGGACACTTTTACCCCATCCAAGCTTCATCTCATAAGACATGACTTCTTTGCCTTTAAACAAAAACAACAACAAAGAAAAATAGAAAAAGGTCTTACTGAGAATTGTTTCAGTAATTACATTTGAAATACCAGTTTATTTCAGCTGGTACATGTTGCCTTTAAAGATAAAGACTAACAAGTAATTCAATGATAAAATGGTCACATTAAGAATAGCCTGCATTGCAGACATAATTCAACCTCAGTAAGTAACATCTGCAAAGCAGCACTGATATCCTTGTTCTCGACCCCCAACAGATGCAATGAACAGCTGAAGTGCATATGAATTTTGTTTTACCCTGATTGGTAAATTGACAATGGCCTTTTTAACAGGCCAATCCGGCATGTACTCCAATCTTGGTACACAAGCATGAGCCCAGAACGAGGATTTCGGCGTTTCGCAGGTGGACTTAACCAGAGTTTAGTTTCATCTGTGGTGCAGGCTACAGTAAGAAAAGTCTAAAATTATTATTGTTACATATGGGTGTAAATGCATATGTGGTGAATTTGATGTGATAACTGCTGTACTGTGTATAATATTGTAATGTTAAGGCTGTGCTCTACATGTAAGAAAATACATAGAAGGGAGCCCAGTGATCTGAGCTTGTGATATCCACAGTGCCCAACATATGATTTCTAAGAGAAAAAAACAAGATCTTTTAGTCCCCATGGACAAAAGGTAGGCACCTTGGGTCACAAGGCACTGCTAGAGAACAGCCTTGTCTGTGCAATACATCCTTATACTACCCTGGGCTCTACAGTTAAGTACATCATGTATATTCCCACCTTTCAATGCAGTCAAGGCTTTTTCACCATCCTTTCTTCTCATGTATGCAACAAAGCCACAGTTTCTGTTACGAGCTTTCTCTTCCTCTGTTCTGGGCCACATGATTTTCACACTCGCTAGAGGACCATACTTGCCAAAAAGCCTCATCAACATCTCCTCTGTCATCTAACAAAAAACAACAGATAGTTGAAGTAATGGCAACTGAGAATTTCAGGCCCTCTAAACTAGACATACAGTAACACGTAAAACCAGTAATAGCGTGCAAAGAAAGTCATGTCTGATAGCCTGGGACTCGTGGATTTTGCGATCAGGCTAGTAAATTCTGTGGTGGATCCAAAGCTGTTTTTCAAGCTGTTTTGACAAAGAGAAATTACTACAGTTATTTTCTGAATAAATTGATACAGGAAGTAATAGTAATAAGTAATAATTACTTCCTTTATCAATTTATTAATTATTAATAATTAACTAATGAAGTAATAAATTAATTAATTAATAAGTGTGGTTTTCCGTTGGCTGAGGAGTGAAAGAAGTGGAAAACATTTTTCTCACACACAGCTGGGAGTATGAATTCAAGTGTGTGTGTGGGGGGGAGGGGGGGGTCTTCAGGTCACGTGGCATTTCAGAGTTCAGTTGTTTTGTTGTTTTTGTTGCATGGTCGGCTTGGCATGGCTCCCAGTTGTATGTGAGAAGAATACATTAATTATTTATCTGGCGAGTTAAAAGGACTCTTGGGCTAGTATGTACTTACTATGGCCAAGCTGTAAAACTGACTTTCTTTGCACCCTGCAGTATACTAATCATTATTTTAGTTTCCCTTGCAATATCACTGCAATTAACACAAGTTACAGGGAAGACTTTTTTGGGGCCATGTTGACAGAAGGAACATATCTTCTTAATAAAGTAACAAAAATGAAGAGCTTGTAATAAAAATAATTTCAATGCTGATGAAAAAAGTATTTCCTTACTGCTGGGTTGATGTTTCCAATGTACAGGTTTGTTGTTGAAGGATCACCTGTGTCATGTGATCCATATGAAAAAGTTTCCTCTAAAAAATAAAAGTAGGTAACAAATAATTAATATTTATATTCACACTTCATAGTTAAAAGGGTTAAAAATGCAAAAGCCAATGATAAAGTGAATGATTATATCAATGACCACTGGAGGGAGGGAAAACCAAAACAACTTAGATTAAACTGTGGGGAAATAAAACCTATTCAACACAGAGGGAAGAGAATACACTAATAATGATAAAATATAAAATCAAAATAAATATCCCTTTCCTATGTTTATGTCAAAGCACTCAATTTCAACATCAAGCATTGCTTTGGAATTCCCAGTGCAATGAAGTTGAAAAGAGTGCCAAAGCACAAAAGCTGCAAAAGCGAACAATTTTGTTCATTTGATGGTGAAATGGGCATGCACATGTAGATAGAAAAATAAAAAACGTGTCTTAAACAAGGTAAAAATTAGTCCAGCATACAATATTAAAAAGAAAACAAAGATCTATTATGCCTAACTAAGCTGCTTTTCAAGGATGCATGAGCATGTCTGACATAAACATGAAGAAGGGTTTATAGGTTTAAAAATGATAATATAAATAATAACAACTGACATTTTGAACTTTTAATTCTGAAAAAAGTCACAACAATAGAAGAACATACCTTTTGGTGTCACTAGGAGTGAGGGTGCCATTTTATCAAGTACCTCTCTTGGAATATCAGCTATATCACCCTTTTTAATCTTGTGTCTTATCTCTCTTTCCATCTGATGTCTAAAAATAACAACATAAAATGTCAAACTAAAAATGTTCNAAAATATAAAATCAAAATAAATATCCCTTTCCTATGTTTATGTCAAAGCACTCAATTTCAACATCAAGCATTGCTTTGGAATTCCCAGTGCAATGAAGTTGAAAAGAGTGCCAAAGCACAAAAGCTGCAAAAGCGAACAATTTTGTTCATTTGATGGTGAAATGGGCATACACATGTAGATAGAAAAATAAAAAACGTGTCTTAAACAAGGTAAAAATTAGTCCAGCATACAATATTAAAAAGAAAACAAAGATCTATTATGCCTAACTAAGCTGCTTTTCAAGGATGCATGAGCATGTCTGACATAAACATGAAGAAGGGTTTATAGGTTTAAAAATGATAATATAAATAATAACAACTGACATTTTGAACTTTTAATTCTGAAAAAAGTCACAACAATAGAAGAACATACCTTTTGGTGTCACTAGGAGTGAGGGTGCCATTTTATCAAGTACCTCTCTTGGAATATCAGCTATATCACCCTTTTTAATCTTGTGTCTTATCTCTCTTTCCATCTGATGTCTAAAAATAACAACATAAAATGTCAAACTAAAAATGTTCCATACCATTATACTTTATGTGTCAACACTGTAAAAGATCCGCAGAGAGCTATCCAAAAAAAAATCTCAGAGAAAGAAACAAGACAAACCACCTTTTTAATTCTTCTTTAAATAGTTCCAAATTACTCTTCTTCTTCTCTTTTTCTTTGGTTTTCTTCTTAACTTCCTGAAAGACATTCAGTGAATTGGTTTCAATATCACTTTATAGTGCACACAATTTAAAGTAAAACTTAAATCTGTGGACATTATTAAACTGTGTCTTCCTTTTTAAAAAACCTGTTTCACAGGGTTCGAAATTAACGGTTGTCCAATTGTCCTGGACAACCAAAATTGTCAATGGGGCAACTAATTTGTGCTGAGTAGTTGCCCCACAGAAATCTCAATCTGCTGAGGTATTAGTCTCTAAACAAATATCGCAGGTGTTTGCTTTGCAAGGGTTCATGAGACCTTAAAGTTAGTTGAAAGTAAAGCAAACACAGAAAAAAGTAGACTCCAAACTCAACGTTTGGCCTGAACGAGCCTGTGATGCTTTAACCAGCAGTTTATGTATGCAAATGTAGCCCATGATGCACCGCAGTGAGATGTGCTCCACGTCATAGCCATGTTTCTTCCCTGTCTGTTATTACCCCTTGATTCTTTATGCAGTTGTAAAATAGAAAATGTATGAACCTCCTTCACTAGTGCAATTTGGAAGCTACTGCAGAGTAGAGGTTCAATCTTTAGAAAGCTCAAAAAAAGTGTTTGTTATCAGACATTTTAAGAGTCATGGAGGACTCCATTGTAGAGATAGCAAAAAAGTAATGGGCACAAGGGAGTCTCCGTCGCATGTCATGTCCTTTTCGCATGATTCTTTCCAAGCGAGGACTGCGCAAGCTGGACTACAATTTGTTGCAAAAGAAAACGCTGTCTTGTAGTTATCACAGACAGTTTTCAAAAATAAATCCACATTTGGAAGCCAGACAGGCAACAGCAGTTTTCACCTTGAGGGATAAAAAAACACATGAAACAAAAGAGGGACATTTTATTGTGAAAAACTAACAAAACGGTTAATAACTTGAGCTACCTCAGAGTTTAATTTCTTGGATTAAGCTGGGCTAAGCGGTTGACTCGGACAACCAAAAATATTCCATGGGAAACCAAACCAAGTCTTGGGGCAACTGGACATGAAAGGAAATTTCGAACACTGGAA